CCAACTTATTTACCTACCCTACCATACCTTAGGTTTACTCCGGGGATCTCTATCAAAAGTTTCCCTATCTTCATCGTCAGAGGATTCACCATCAGGTCTACTGTTCTTTGTCTAAATTGAGCAGTTAAATAAATTCATTCCATAAACCTGTCATCTAACCACCCATCCCCCTCCCCCCCCAACTTATTTAACCATCCTACCTTAGGTTTTCTCAGGGGAGTCTTCTTAGCTACATCAGAAAAGCTAGCAGCGGTCTTCTTCCTTTCCATCTAAATTGAGAGAAGTTAAATTCATTAATTTCACCTTTAAACCATTCATCCATCCTTTCATCCTTACTCATCCTCTCATTCATTGATAATAATTAATTTCATTATCCTTTGAAAACTGCATTGATCTAAACTTAAACTAAAAAGTTATTCACATATTATAAAAAAAGTAAAAAAGAAGGTTCAGTGAAACCTTTGCGTAAAATAAAATTGATGTACCAGAATCTCTTCACTCCAGTCGTCTTCGTAATCTGAATCAGAATCTTCAAATTTGGTTTCAATCGCGTCCCCTGCTTCATTTATTACGCAATCCTCGACCTCCAGTAACCCAAACTAAAAAACAAACATATTTTCAGGGTGGCCAAAATGTACGGATTGTACGGATTTTTTTTTTTAACCCTAAAATTGTATGGATTGTACGGATTTGTTTTCAAATTGTACGGATTGTACGGATTTCTTCTGAAAATGTAAGGATTTTTGTACGGATTTGTTCAAAAAAGTTTTGGCCACCCTGTATTTTGAACAAGCATCACTTATTGTCGTTTGTGCCTGTTCAGTACAAATACCCGTCTATTTTTTTTACCTCTGCCTGAACATTATCCATTGGAAACTCTTGAATTGCTTCCATTATGCTCTTATCATTCTCCGGGTCAGTCCTGACCACTGTGGCCATTCTACGTCCAACCAAATCATTAACCTAGGCATAATTCAACATTTTCATTTTTTCAATTTATGTTGATGGGGGGGGGGGGCTATAAGCGGTTGTGAAAAAATGAAACCCCAACTGGCAAGCTTTGCAACTCAACATTTACTAATCATAAAATATATTTCCCCAAATATGATTTATTCTTAGTTAAAATCCTTAAACAAGCCCCCAATTACGTAAAAGTTTGTTAATTAGATAGACCCACACCACCACATTTTACAATATACATATTAAAAGCTTGTTTTTAATCGTCATGACAGAAACAATCTCAAGGAAAAATAATTTTTTTACACATTCTTTAAAAAGAGAATATTTGCAAATTGTCTTTTCTCCATCTCATGATCTGAGTTCATTTCCCGTATCAATTTGACAGCACATTTAAATTTGTTTAAAATAATCTTTTTGACTGTTTATTTTCTTGTGGTTTTTAACATTTTTCACTTATTTTCTTGAGGTTTTTTTGCATTTTTTACTATCCATCTTGAAGTTATTCCTTATATCGATAGAACTGAGGAGGGTCAATCCAGACCAAAATATATTTTCAATAAAATGCGGACCTAGCCTCTACTTTTTTTACTAGTACCACTTATCTTTAAGGACTAATTAAGAAATAAGAATATATATCAATATTCCCATTTAATTCTGAACCCAATTCTAGATGAAATAAACCAGGGGATATAGTAATAAAAAGATTGAGGCTGCTTTTTGGTAACTACACTTTCATGGTTTGTGTTTAAAAAGAAAGAGGTATCCCTGACATTTGATTAATTAATCTTACCTTGACATAAATCTCTTGATGAATATCTTCCCCATGGCCCATCAATCGTGCAAGGGGCTTCTGGTCTTCCGGAGGTAGGAGCAGGTTTTTAGTTGCATGGAACCGTCTCTGAATGCTAAAAATATAAATTAAATTTTTTTAATATTCAAGATCTACTAAAATTTAATATTACTTGATGTGGCAGTCAGAGCAATAAAAATTTAATGTTAGAACTTAAAAAATATAATAAAAAGGGATCAAAACTATGAAGAGGTGAACAGTTCTAAACATTTTATTGCCCCTGGAAAATATCCAATGAATTAACTTCAGCGATAAGTTTGTGACTCTGTAACCACAAACCAGTACTTAGGATCCGGATCCGCAAGATTTTTACTTCCTGGATACGGATCCGGATCCAGGGGGTAAAATATCAACCAAAAACTGCCAAAAAAAAATACTTTTTTACTCCTAAAACCCAAATCTGAATTTTTGAAAAAGAAAGATTATAAAAATTTCCTCATTTCTGAACGGTTCATCAAGTTTTGGGATAAAAATAAGCGAAAAAAATAAACAAAAAATTTGAAAATTATTTTTGGTAAAAAAAATTCAGTAAATCGTGAACAATTGACCTGGATCCGGATCCTGATCCATTTTTTCCAGTGCGGATCCAGGATCCGGATCCGAATCCGGATCAAAATTAAATGCATCCTAAGCACTGCCACAAACTATTCCTAGCCGAGGCCAGGGAACTTAATATATGGATTATTGAAAAGGAGTGTGCAAAATGATTATTAAAGAAAATATTTATCACTGAATAATTTTAAAACGTACTTTGACGCTGGAATGGCAATGCCCGTTTCTTGTCTGCATATATTCTTTGCATCACTTGTCTTCCTAAAAATATAAGTGAAATCAAATCGACACAATAATTAACACTAGGATAATGTAAGTTAGTGATGAGATGTATCCAGATTAAAAACAACTTTAGTGCAAATCTTTTCTGTTATGAAAGGTCAAATATTTAGCATTCTTTGTTACTATTTTCCACCAATCTTACATTTTAAAAATTAAGTATTTTTCACACAAGAAAATAAATGTAAGTATGATATGAATGAAAGGAAATAAGACAAGATTTTGTGGTAACCACTTCAAACATCCAGGTATTCAGATAATTCAGTATATATATACAGGGTGGCCAAAACTTTTTTGAACAAATTCGTACAAAAATCCGTACATTTTCAGATAAAATTTGTACAATCCGTACAATTTTCGAAATTTTCGATATATATCAAAAGTAGTTTAGTAAGCTAATACCTGTAAGTTCCTGTCTTTGGCATAGCAAATATATACGGGTTATCTTGAACATCTTCAGGAAGTGGTAAACTTCGTAAAGCCAAAAAAGCTCGAGTTTCCAGGTCAGATAAGTACAATTGGTTCTCTCCCCCGCACTTTCCTGAAGTAAAAAAATAGTGAAAAGGCCTTAGTGAAATAGCCTTAGTTTCGATCAGTACTAATTTAACTTATATCTGGTGGTTTTCTAAGGGTGTCTGTGTCTTCCACCAAGTTTGACAATTTTAAAATAATACCATTGGGCAATGCCAGGTACATTTTCTGTTATTTAATATCCATTACCTGGCAAGGTTAATGTCCAGTAAAGCTCGGCCGATGATGGATCCCTATCCTGATTTGGCAAAGAAAGTTCATTTGAAGTTCATCAAATTGCTTCATAATATTAAAAGCAATACCAATATGAATGTTTTTATGTGAACCACTAAAACAAATTGGCATCAACTTTTGTTTAAGTCAATAAACTGTTGAGAAATAAATGAAAATAAAATTAATAATATTTTCTTTATAATTCCATTCCTTGAAGGCAACGTCGAACATTACGTCGTCTTTTGAAAACTGCTTAGCAGTCCTTAACGCAGCATAAAAGATGGACCAAGTGAGTTTGGCTACTTCACCACCCCTAGCAAAAATTTAGTTTAAATAAAATCATTAAGTACAAGGAGGGAGGGGATGCAGAGCATCCATGAGCCCCGCAAACTGACCTCCGAATCATCCTGATCCTCAAATATGTAGAAATGTACAATATTTATGTTGAACAAAGTTTGCTTTCCAACACAATGCTCGACTTTTAACTAATGAGTGATCTCCTCGATCTCTGAATGTTAAAGTTTCAGCTTAAAAATCTGAGAAAAAAATGAAGAAAAAAATTGTTGAAAATTTATCGTTTGTCAAAAAATTCAGTAATTTGTTTAGAAATATTTATGAGATAGATTCGGATTTTTTTATTTCCAGGCCAGTACAGATCTGGATTAAAATGAAATAGATCTTAACCAGTGAGAAAAATAAATTGATAACCAGAATAATGAGTTAGTGATTAAAAATAGGGTCAAAAACGACAATCATTTGCTTGTATCTGGTTAGGTCTGTATTTTTAAATAAACTTTTTATTTACCTCTTGACTGACTGGATGGTTATGTACTGCTGAAGACTGGACGTCAGTTTGATATGATTTTCTATTGTAGGGTTTCTTTTATAGTCTTCAAGAGACTTCTCTACCATACTTCGCAGTGCCCTGGCAGACTCAGTCATCTTAAATTTTCATTTTCAGAAAAAAAATATTTAGAATAATACTAGGATGTACAAGGATAAACTAGCATGTGGTAGGGTAAAGTATGATCAACTACGATCAACTACGATCAACTACGATCAACTACGATCAACTACAATCAACTATCATCAACTATCATCAACTATCATCAACTATCATCAACTATCATCAACTATCATCAACTATCATCAACTATCATCAACTATCATCAACTGTGATGCACTGTGATGCACTGTGATGCACTGTGATGCACTGTGATGCATTGTGATGCATTCTGATGCACTGTGATGCACTGTGATGCACTGTGATGCACTGTGATGCACTATGATGCACTATGATGCACTGTGAATCGTTAGGAAGAGTTAGGAAGAGTTAGGAAGAGTAGGGTTCGGTTAGTAATAGCTAGGAAGAGTAGGGTATGGTAAGCAAGAGTTAGGAGTTTAGTTTTGGCTTCTCCGACTGAAGAAACCAACACTTAACCCAACCTATCAGAGAAACCATCACTAAACCAAACCTATTGGAGAAATTAAGACTAACCAACCTATCCGAGAAATTTACACTAAACCCAACCTATAGGAGAAACTAACACTCAACACAACCTATTGGAGAAACTAACACTAAACCCAACCTATCTCAGTTCTCTGACAGATGCACTATGATAAACTGGGATGATCTAGGATGTAACATAACCATCGTTATTAACCAAACAGAAGGATTTATAACCAAACAAGATCTTACTAGGGATTTTGATGGCAGTCCTAGCCCTTTGTTGAACTGTCCACGTTTTCTTATCTGCACCAATCTCTTCTTCACATCCTAAAAGCTTATAAATGAGAATGACAATTCATGATCATCATTTCATAGACAATTATGTATGTTCTAGAATTACTTAACTGAAATAACTAATAAAAGTTAAGTTTTAGATTTTTAACAGTTCTGTTATTGATCACATAGTTATAGCATATTTTAGGATTGGAATTTATTATTTTAACGGATGGGGGGGGGGAGATTACAATCGGCTACAACACCCCACCCCCAGTATGCAACATTGCAACACATCATGAATGAAGTTGTTAGGCCAATTCAACACCAAAGCATATTAGTATAAAGACTGAATATTTACCGTATTCCAATGAAATTTCAGATGGTTGATAAACCTTTCCACAGTTTTCTTGTCTTTGTCGGATCTGCCTGTCTCCTCATAGGTTTTCAGTACAGCTCTTGCAATCGAGTTGATGGCTTGGGGATATTTCCTATAATAAAAAGTAAATGAAAATTACAATGAGAGAACTGGAGTAAGATTTGAAAAATGTGAAACATGATTTATGTACTTCGAGTACGTTTCAATCAGGCTTATGATCCGGATCATGATCAGTTGGATCCACAACATTTTGGCTTCTTGGATCTGTATCCGCAATAATATGCAGATCCAAGGGGCAAAATTTTATCTAATACCTGCTCTGCAACAATCAAATTTACATGCAAATACCAAATGTACAGTGATCAGACAGCAAAAGAAAATATTTATTGCTCTTTAATTTTTTTGTTAAAATTAAAATTCAAAAGTAAATGTAAAAAACATGTACATGACCTGGATCTGGATCCATTTTTTTCAGGACTGATCCCTGATCCTGATCTGCATCTTAATTATTTGGATCATAAGCAGGGTTCAAAAATTGATTTGAATTTTACATTTGTTGCAGTAAAACATGAAGATGCCCCCCCACCCCTCCTATATTTTACTTTGGTCTTCATTAATGGAAGGGATGAAGGATTTATGGGGGGGGGGTGAGAAGCCATTTTTGAGGAAATATATAACCCTGATTTATGGTGTACTTACTTGAAACTACTAAGATGATTAAAGACAGAGGTTTTGATATCTCCACTTCCAAGATCTTGAAGTATCTGGTAGAATTTCTCAGTGTTGCAAAGCATCTCGCAAGTTACATTTTTTTTCGCCTCTTTTGAGACAGCAACCAAGACTTTTGACATCATTCGAAACTTCTCAGCAGCTTCTTTGTAGCTTCCAGGGCGATCAACTTGTGATTTAACATAGGCACAGATATAGTTGACAATGATCGGGTCTTGTACACCTTTCTCATATATTTCATCTTTCCTCATTTTTCCGGATATGTCAAGAAACAAAGGTGGGAGATGTGTTGGTCTTGACGCAGCTATTATTTTCCTTTTTCTTTCTTTAACTTCAGTTTTCGTGTTGCTTTTGCCCTTCTTGCAATTTTGTCTCAGGTGAACAGGAAGAGATGTAATTTTGATAACTAATCCACATTCACATCTGCAGTACGAGGGTGTCAGTTCGATCACATCCTTGGACATCATGGCCTTGATATTGAGCCATTCTTGCTGGAATAGTATTGGTTGAGTTTTTTCCATATCCATGCAGTTTTTAACATTGACATTGTCCATATGTTTATTTCTCATGTGTCTCGGAAGCTTGAAGAGAAATTTTTTACAGAAACCACAGTATTCCTGTCCAGGTTTTACTTCTTTAGATTGATTTTCTACCTGATTCTTTGAGGGACTTGGATACTGAATCTGGTTGCTTGAGGAGAACAATTGATTCTGAATCTGGTTATTTGAGAACTGGTGGTTTGGAGGGACCATAGGATTCTGGATCTGGTAGTTTGGATTGTTCTGAATCTGGTTATTTGCCAACTGGTGGTTTGGAGGGATCATAGGATTCTGGACCTGGTAGTTTGGATTGTTCTGAATCTGGTTATTTGCCAACTGGTGGTTTGGAGGGACCATAGGATTCTGGACCTGGTAGTATGGATTGTTCTGAATCTGGTTATTTGCAAACTGGTGGTTTGGAGGGACCATAGGATTCTGGACCTGGTAGTATGGATTGTTCTGAATCTGGTTATTTGAGAACTGGTGGTTTGGAGGGAACATAGCATTCTGGTCTCGGTAATTTGGAGAAAACATAGAATTTGGGACCCAGTAGGTTGGAGGCAACATAAGATTAGGGATCCGGGGTCTGTAGGGGTCTGCGTAAGGAATAATGCAGCCATTGCCACTTTCAAAAAACTAAAATCATCAAAAAAAAATACCAGGAAGACTTAAATGTTGTGGCATAGAAGACTAAACGGTTATAGCTAATGATTGCTGGAGGACAAAAAAAGCATATAAGAAGTAAATAAGTTCAAAACCAACTGTTTTTCCCCACTTGCAACGCTAACAAATTCAGCTTTTAAAAAAAAGAAAATAGTTTCTAATAATAATTTTAACCAACCAAGCACTAGTATAAATAAAGAAAACAAATAACTTAAACAGTGCTCAGGATCCGTTTAGTTTTGACGTGGATCCGGACCAAAATCCTGGATCTGCAGTGGAAAAAATTAATCCAGATTCAGATCCAGATAAAAGTCATGAACATTCAAGATTTACCGATTTTTAACAGACAAAGTTCTGAATTTTTATCTCACTAAATTTTTTGCAACAACTTAATGAACCTTACAGAGATAAGGCCATTTATGATATAATATCTATTTTTTAACAATTTAGATTTAAGGTTTGAGATCAAAAGATTTTGAAAAAAGGTTTTGGTTGGCATTTCGTCACTTGGCACTGCTTATTTTTGCGGATCAGGATCCAGGAAGCCTAACTATTGTAGATCTAACGAATTAGAATCCTATGCACTGCCCAGAAAGTTGTTGGTAATATAACATACCTTATAAATTTTCTTCGTCCTATTCTTCCTCTTCTTCTTAGTCCCCCAATCAAAGTCCTGGAGACTTGAATCTGACTGGTCCTCCGTATAATAAGTAATCATTTCTCTCAATTTATTAATTCAGGGGATGAAAATTCCTAACCATACTCATTTTCCAAACTTGACCCTAAAACTCAGGTTTGCGCTCAAATAATATGATGGAATGTTATAGAAAATCTTTAGGTGGCAAGCCCAAATTTCAACCTGCAGGTATTTAAATTATACAGTCCCTTTAACTAACCTGCAGGTATTTCCATTATACAGTCCCTTTAACTAACCTGCAGGTACTTCAATCATATAGTCCTTTTAACTAAACTGCAGGTATTTCAATTATACAGTCCCTTTAACTAACCTGCAGCTATTTCAATTAAACAGTCCCTTTAACTAACCTGCAGGTATTCCAATTATACAGTCCTTTTAACTAACCTGCAGGTATTTCAATTATACAGTCCCTTTAACTAACCTGCAGGTATTTCAATTACACAGTCCCTTTAACTAACCTGCAGGTATTAACCTGCAGGTATTTCAATTATACAGTCCCTTTAACTAACCTGCAGGTATATCAATTATATAGTCCCTTTAACTAACCTGCAGGTACTTCAATTATACAGTCCCTTTAACTAACCTGCAGGTATTTCAATTACACAGTCCCTTTAACTAACCTGCATGTATTTCAATTACACAGTCCTTTTAACTAACCTGCAGGTATATCAATTAAATAGTCACTTTAACTAACCTGCAGGTACTTCAATTATACAGTCCCTTTAACTAACCTGCAGGTATTTCAATTACACAGTCCCTTTAACTAACCTGCAGGTATTTCAATTATACAGTCCTTTTAACTAACCTGCAGGTATTTCAATTATACAGTCCCTTTAACTAACCTGCAGGTATTTCAATTATACAGTCCTTTTAACTAACCTGCAGGTATTTCAATTATACAGTCCCTTTAACTAACCTGCAGGTATTTCAATTATACAGTTTAACTAACCTGCAGGTATTTCAATTATACAGTCCCTTTAACTAACCTGCAGGTATTTCAATTATACAGTCCTTTTAACTAACCTGCAGGTATATCAATTAAATAGTCCCTTCAACTAACCTGCAGGTACTTCAATTATACAGTCCCTTTAACTAACCTGCAGGTATTTCAATTATATAGTCCCTTTAACTAAACTGCAGGTATATCAATTATACAGTCCCTTTAACTAAACTGCAGGTATATCAATTATACAGTCCTTTTAACTAACCTGCAGGTATTTCAATTATACAGTCCCTTTAACTAAACTGCAGGTATATCAACTAAATAGTCCCTTTAACTAACCTGCAGGTATATCAATTGTAGAGTCCCTTTAACTAACCTGCAGTTTATCAGTTACCATACTCTCCTCAACATCATCCTTCTCCTTCTCAGACCAGCTTTGTATATATGAAGGTGCACAAGGTTGATCAGTATTCATCTAAATTAGGATAATTAAATGTCTCATCAATTAATATAATTAAATATTCATTCAATTACCAACTTGTTCATTTACCAATTCATTAATTTACCAATTTATGCATTTACCAGTTCATTCATTTACCAACTCCTTTATTTACCAATTCATCAATTTACTTTCTCATTTTAATACCAATCCATTCATTTACCAATTCATTCCTTTACTAACTTGTTCATTTATTAGTTTGTCAGTTACCTTACTCTCCTCAACATCATCCTTCTCTTTCTCAGAACAGCTTAGAATATATGTAAGTGCTGTAAGTGCACGAGGTTGATCAGTATTCATCTAAATTGGGATAATTATATGTCTCATCAATAAGTATAATTAAATATTCATTCAATTACAAACTCGTACATTTACCAATTCATTCATTTAACAATTAATTCATTTAACAATTTATTCATTTAAAGTTCATTCATTTACCAACTCATTCATTTACCAATTCACCCATTTACCAACTTGTTCATTTACCAATTCATTAATTTAACAATTTTTTCATTTACCAGTTCATCCTCATACTAATTTATTCATTTACAAATTCATTCTTTTACCAACTCCCTTATTTACCAATTCATCAATTTACTTTCTCATTTTAATACCAATCCATTCATTTACCAATTCATCCTTTTACCAACTTGTTCATTTATTAGTTTATCAGTTACCTTACTCTCCTCAACATCATCCTTCTCCTTCTCAGACCAGCTTTGTATATATGAAGGTGCACAAGGTTGATCAGTATTCATCTAAATTAGGATAATTAAATGTCTCATCAATTAATATAATTAAATATTCATTCAATTACCAACTTGTTCATTTACCAATTCATTCATTTAACAATTTATTCATTTAAAGTTCTTTCGTTTACCAACTCATTCATTCACCAATTCATCCATTTACCAACTTGTTCATTTACCAATTCATTCATTTAACATTTATTCATTTACCAGTTCATCCTTTACCAATTTATTCATTTAACAGTTCATTAAATTACCAACTCATTCATTTTTCAACTCGTTCATTTACCAATTCATCCATTTAACAACTTGTTCATTTACCAATTCATTCATTTAACATTTATTCATTTACCAGTTCATCCTCTTACCAATTTATTCATTTACCAGTTCATCCTCTTACCAATTTATTCATTTACCAGTTCATTCATTTACCAACTCCTTTATTTACCAATTCATCAATTTACTTTCTCATTTTAATACCAATCCATTCATTTACCAATTCATTCATTTACCAACTTGTTCATTTATTAGTTTATCAGTTACCTTACTCTCCTCAACATCATCCTTCTCCTTCTCAGAACAGCTTTGTATATATGAAGGTGCACAAGGTTGATCAATATTCATCTAAATTGGGATAATTATAATTATATGCCTCAAACTCTAATAGTCAGCCGGAGTAATCATGGATGTAAAGATCTAACCCGTCTCTCCTAGCCTAAATTTTATGGCTAAATGCCTCAAACTCTAACTATCAGTAAATCCCGGTTGATGTATGGCTAAATGCCTCAAACTCTAACTATCAGTAAATCCCGACTGATGTATGGCTAAATGCCTCAAACTCTAACTATCAGTAAATCCCGTCTGATGTATGGCTAAATGCCTCAAACTCTAACTATCAGTAAATCCCGGTTGATGTATGGCTAAATGCCTCAAACTAACTTCAGTAAATCCCGACTGATGTATGGCTAAATGCCTCAAACTCTAACTATCAGTAAATCCCGAATGATGTATGGCTAAATGCCTCAAACTCTAACTATCAGTAAATCCCGGTTGATGTATGGTTAAATACCTCAAATTCTAACTATAAGTAAATCCTGAATGATGTATGTCTAAATGCCTCAAACTCTAACTATCAGTAAATCCTGGTTGATATATGGTTAAATGCCTCAAACTCTAACTGGCAGTCAATCCCTACTGCTTCAACAATCAATCAATCAATCAATCAATCAATCAATCAAACGTAACTCAGTTTTTAAAAACTCAACCTACAATGAATTAGGTTTAGCATAACGTTAATTCAACCAGTGTACAAAAATAAATTTACTTTTCAATTACGATAATATTTCATACTCATTTGTTTCACTATTCTTCATTTTATTTTGTATTTTCGTAATTAAAAGAAAGCCACTTGAAAATTAAATCAATTAAAAACCCAAAAACCCAACAATTCACCCAGCCCACTTTCGGATTACTTATTCTCTTTGTCAAGATAATACACTTTTTATCAATCAATCATCAATTATTCAATAATTCTAACTTTTGGGCTAACCTGTGCTGGTTCAGGGAAAAGAGATCGTCGAGGATTGGGATGTTGAACACCAGATGAAGCTTCTGAAAAAAAATCAATAACATTTGCTTTGGATCCAACATTCAGCAATTATGGAGAAAACGAAATTTTCAGGGGGGGGGGCCCCATTTAGGTCATGGTTTATCACATGTGCATTCTTGTGGATTTGCTAAGTTTCAGGGTCTTCCACTTAAACTTATCATAAATGAATTTAAAATAAATACCCCTATGAATGATGGTATTACATGAAATAATTTAAAATTAATACCCTTATGCGTAGATGGTATTGCATGAATTAATTTAAAATAAATACACCTTTGCATAGATGGTATTAGAACTAACGTTGGGCCCACTAACCTCAGACTTGCAACTGTCAAACTTATATTTGGCGAAGTGGGACAAACTTCTAACTAGTACAAACCTCATACCAGTACAAATTTCAGACTAGTACATTTATAATGTTGGACTTTGAATAGATTATTTGTATAAGAAATGAAGTTCCTCCAATTAAAGTTAAATTTAATTTAATTTCAATTTAATTTTAATTTAATTTTAATTTAAAATAAAAATGTGAACAATCCTAGGACTGGGACACACATCAAACTTGTAAAAATTACAGACCAATAGAAATGTCTGATTTGTACATTTAAGAAAAAACTTAGGGCTTTGGTTGGTTTTCATTACAGCGCTTAGACTTCTTTTATTTTTGATGCTGATCCAGATCCTGGAACCGAACATTTTTATTCTCAAAAAAGGATTTTATGAATTTTTTCCGCTAAACATTCATAAACCATTTATTGAAAAGAAAATTTTTAATAATCTCATATTTTTAACAGTTCAGTTCAAATAATTTTGTTTTACAGTTCTTGGTTGATATTTTGATGGTTAGAGGGGGCCAGGGGTTCATAACTTCAATTACCTTTTAGAAACTTGGATAAAAGATACTGCGGTCCGGACAGGTTTTTGTCATCAAGAGGATGTCTCGCATCTAAATTAAATATACACTTATAGTAACACATCTGTATCATGAAAATTCATATAAAAATAATAATTACGTTAAATCTTAGTCACACTCCCTCTCTAAAAGTAGAAATATTTCCTTTTTCCCCATTATGAATGGAAAACTTGAGAAGTGCAATAATATTTTTAGGTTGTATCGCGACTTCGCGAGGAAAATAAATGATTTTGTCAGGGGATTAATCTGAGTTGAAACCTTGAGAATGGTGAATATCCAGCTTATTGCTTGATTTCCTCTTTTTCTTAATCTCTAGATTAATTAACCAATCAGGATTAAGGATGTAATCTATTTTAAGTTTACAGCTCTGGATACAAACCCCATGAAAATAACATCGTTGTTTCAGCTGTTTGACTGTGCTATTATGGAAATTACACTTCTATTTGCTGGAAAAATATCAACCTAGTTATGGTTCTAATTCTTATGTTACTCAAAAGATAAAGTATCACTGCATGTATACTCCTGTCCCTAGGAATCGGCAAAAGTCATTGAAGTAATTCTTAAAACGTTACAACCTAATTGTCTTCAGCATTGCTAGAGAAAATTATATCAATTAAAAACTAAAACCTTTAATCCTTGATCATATTTTAAGAGCACTGTTGAGTTAAGTTATCAAGATCAAATCAGAAGATGATAAATTGGATACTTTAAGGTGCGTAGATTCTGCAAAATTTCAAGGCGCGCTATAAAAAAAATTGAACTATACCCCCCCGCCCCCTCCCCTCCGTTATACTGAATACCAGATTCTTTGATTAGATGTAATAAAAGGTTTATAAGTTAAAATATACCTGGCTTTCTTAAGAGTGTTTCCTGACATATCTGAAGAATGATGAATTCACATCTGGAAATAAAAAAAATAAGGCAGCCTAAAAAATTCTCTTTTTATGAAAATATTAGTGTCGAGCATTTACACTAACACCTCAATAACAAGTGACTAAGGAAGCATGCTTGAGACATCTATTAAACTATACCTAAGCCCGAATCTTCCCAGCCGTACTTTTTGCAAACACATTATCATGTCTTTGTTTACTCGAGATGAAACACAACGCCTCTCGGCAAAAACGTTTAGAAAGCATAGTAAAATTAGATTATGTGCCGACACCTATATTTTGGGTGACATCTAGCAGACAAACATGAAGTACAGATCCATACAAAGTACCGTCTTAAATACACCCGTTAAGTTTGAAAGATTCGAGCTCTGATCGTGTGGATGAGACATCCATACTTTTAAATAAACATACATGAGCGTCCCATATAAAATGAAATTATCTCCAAGCTTTAACGCACAAATAAACACATCGATTCGAAAAACTTTTTATAATATTTACCAGGTCCGTCTAAGTGAACAATTCTGGACCCCCCCCCCCTCCTATCAATTTTATACATGACGAAATTAGAATTAGTATTTATTTATTATTATTTAGGGTTAGGTTAGGACACTTTCTGGGCCGAGCGCTGCGGCTAGGACAGGCTAGGGGGCCGAACGCTGCGGCCACATGGTCAATTATTTCCATGTCTAACATATAAGATCCATGTACAAAATTGATAGGAGGGGGGGGGGGGCCTGAGGGGCGGGGTCCAAAAATCGTTCTCTAGGAATATACCTATTTGCCTTATTAAATTTTCCAAATGATTCATACTCCTTAAATTTTCCAAATGATTCATACTCCTTAAATTTTCTTCATAGTCCAGAAAATCATAATTTACCATTGACGATCTAATGCAATGTCGAACACCCTGTATATGACTCCGACTGATGACGTCCTAAGTAAAAAGTTAAATACAACCTATATCAGCAAAAATAAATGGACCTCTTATCAATTTTGTGCATGGCCTAAAGTTCAACTATCACAAGAAAAATATTTATTTTGTATAATAATTCAGGGTTTTGTTCAGTTAGTACAATTTCTGTGCCAGCACTGCGGCTAGGGTGCTGAGGGCTGCGGCTTTAACAGGCTAGGGGCCGAGTGCTGTGGCGGTGACATGGAAACGCCTCAACACGGAAATGCCTCAAAAAACGGGCTCATAAAACTAATTTAATGTCGTCTTCTCTCATTAAAAAAATATTTAAACACTTATTTTACCATTAATTTAGCTGTAAGTTAGGTTGCGTCGCAGGCTACGGGGGGGGCCGAGCGCTGCGGCTAGAATATGGGATAGGGGGCCGAGCACTGCGACTAGGACAGGCAAGTGGGCCATGCGTTGAGGCTAGAATAGGCTAGGAGGCCGAGCGCTGCGGCCATGGCTGTGGAAATTGTTAGACTATAGTCTTTTTAATTTTAAGTTGAGAGAAGACAACATTAAATTAGTTTTATGATTCTGTTTTTAGCAGTGCTTGGCCCAGAAATGAGCTTAACGTATCCTAACCCTAAATATAGGCTAATTTAAATAAAAATTATTGAAATCAAAGGTCTTTCCTGACCGCGGCGCTTGGCCCACAAGCCAGTCCTAGTGGCAGTGCTCGGCCCAGAATTGAGCTTAACCTAACCAAACCCTAAATATACACTAATTTTAATAAAAATTGTTGATATTAAAGGTCTTTCCTTGCCACAGTGCTCGGCCCCCTAGACCCAATGTGAAGTATAAGCTAATTAAATTGGGATATCTGGGACTAATAAGAAAATTAAAAAGAACTTATCGTATATCTAAATGATAGGTTTTTCGAGTGTTATGAGCGTATTTTGGCGTGAAAGTTTGCAGATAAACTAATATGATATAGGACGCTCTGTATGTATACAAGATAAGCTAACACTGATAATGCAACTTGTGCTATTTCACTGAACACCTGCGTCCAACTCCGGCTCCGGCAAACTACTATAACTCCAAGATGGCTGACTTGACCATCGTGGAATTGTTTTGATTTTTCACGCATGCGCAAAAAATTGTTTTGATTTTTCACGCATGCGCAAATGAAACATAATTTAATCCATGCTCTGATTGGTTGGCGAAAATGTCCCAGATATTACTTTTTAAATGTCCCTGAAAAACGATTCCGCACGGATAGAGGGAAGGGAAAAGGGAAGGAAAAAGGGAAGGGAAAAGGGAAGAGGAAAGGGAGAAGGGGGAAGAGAAAAGGAAAAAGGGGGAAGAGAAAAGAAAAAAGGGGAAGGAAAGGGAAATAGGAAGAGGGAAGGAAAAGGGGGAATGAAAAAAGAAGGAAAAAGAGGAAAAAATGTAAAACCTTTCAGGTTCGTCCCTTAATAGCATTATCATGTTTCCCCCCTCTAAAAAGCTAGTAATTGTAATAATGTAAATTTATGTAAGTAAAATAAACATATTTTTTCAATTGCATCTTCACAAAAACAAAACCAAAATTTAACAAAAAATGAAACAGTATCAGACATGCTTTCAAAAAATTTCAGAAGTTACCTTGAAGTTACCTTTTTAGGACACCAAAACACTCCATTATAGTACAAAAATCCAAAAAGGGGAGGGGCTAAAAATTATTCTCAAATTAAATATACACCCATGACCATTTCAGATAATATATCTATAATCTCAACCTTATTAGATGTGCACAGACTTCTTCCCTATCAGACGATCTGAGAGAAAGAGTAAAAGTGAACTGGAAAAGGAGAAGAAGAAGGGTATTGAGGCCCGACTACTGGCTACCAAGGATACAGGCCTCGACCTCGAAGTTCGGGAGATCTATATGAAAGGAAGAGGTGTTGTGACACTCCGTAGCTATGAAAAGGGAGAGTTTGTCATAGAATATGCCGGGGAGTTAATAGATCAAAGACAGGGAGACCCAGTGCTCACTTGACACTACCAAAGGATGTTATCCCAATTTTTTCTTTCCACCGTTTTCTTATTTTCTACTGTGATCGGAACTCTTTTTCATCCACAAAAATGTTTTTTTGTGGAGCTCCGACATCGGATGATTAAAAGCTGTCTTTTTTAGTCCGCAATTGTTTGCTGTCGGAGTTTGACTCCATCGTCGGATCAAAACTAATTTATCAGTCCGTCTGAAGAACTTTGAGGATGAAAAGACAAACTGTTTCTTCCGATATGAAATCAAAAAGGATGATAAAAAACGAGGGCCCGCTGAAAAGCGCGCTCATTTGTCAAATCTTAGCCAGTTTAATTCATTTCTTCAAGGTGTAAGCACGCTGCTCAATTTGTTCAGAAAGTTTCTACATGATGAGATCTGCATGACCT